CTTTCACTGAATCACTTCACCCATTATAGTTTTAATAAAAATGAAGTCAGGGCTGGGGATTTAGCTCAGCGGCAAAGCGCCTGCCTGGCAAGTGCAAGGTTGTGAGTTTGGTTCCCGGTACCGGAGAAACACCAAAAAAAAAAATAAATAAATAAATAAAAAATTAAAAAAAAAAAAAATGAAGTCTTCACTCTAAACCGAGTTAAAAAAGATGCTTTACTCTCTTTAGATGTATCAATAATTCATTTAATAAGTATCTAGGATATAGGTTGTTTAGTTAAAATTGATCATTTCTTATTATTAACAAACTTATTTAAGAATTTAGAAGCTAGAAAGAGCCCTTGGGAGAGTCTAGCCTCAGTATTTACAAGGAAGAAATGAAGACTTACCAAGCGATGTAGATATGGACCGATCTACAATCTCATGCCCCCATTTGGTGCTTATCCCAAGCCCTCAACTCCCTATTAAGGAAAAGGCAAACAGTGAAATGTATCATTTGCCCAGAGTGCTTTACTTTTCTTTTGTCCCTTCAATTACCCGTTTGCCTTCAATGCAGGTCACCTATCTCACGTAATTTCTGGCCCATCCTTATCCATCAACATTGTAACATGTAGGCTCTTTTCTGACCTCAAGTTCAAAAGGTTTCTTAGAGCTGCCAGTGGTAATTATAGTCTCCCACACAGTATTCCCACAGTCTCATGAACATATACAGGCTGGTTATTTCTGAGCAAAAGTGTTCAGCCCCACATCCTCTGGCTCTCTTGGAGGGAACTGTTTGATGAAGGTTTCGGTTCTACCTCCTGGGTTAGCAGTGTTACCCAGATACCTGTCTTATGTTCCTTTCAGTGGCTCTTAGTTCTAATTCTTTATTCTGTTCTGTCAGAATAACTCAAAGAGAAAAGAATATCCATTAACATCTTCCTTGAAAAATAGTCAAAAGCCGTTTGAAGACCTTAGGTCCCTGAAAACAGGTGTATCTCTCTTTGTTCTTGCTTTGGTCCTGCCAGCAAAACTTTGTACCCCTGGATCAGAGGCTGGTGGCTCAACAAAGGAGCTGGCCCTTGGGGTTAGTGTAGCTGCATGGCAGTTCTAGCCTGGGCACCACATGGACGTTTTCTGCACAATGAGGCTGAGTCCACACAAGCAGACTCTCTGGAGTCTGTTTCTGGGCTATTGAAAGCCTACTGAGACAGGCAGATGGTGTTACAGAGCATCCACTTTGATTAGAGATTTTGAGTCTTTCACTGCAAAGATTTTCTTTTCACTGTCCAACTATTTGGCCTGCTTTTTTTTCTTTTTTTTTGCTGTTGGGTTTTGTAACTCATATTTTCCTATATCTAATTAAGTGCTTTAAAAAATAACAAGCAACACAAGTTGCAATAACAACAAACACTAGGTAAATCAAGGGATCACCTTAACATTTTTAAGAGTGCCAACCAGTATTTCTTTAATTGCAGAGATTTAAAAATGAATGCTTTCCAGATGGTTTTATTCTTTGAATTTCCATCACCTCCAGAACTTGGTGAGCCCAGAGGTCACTTGATCACTCCTTTTTAGATGATTTACTTCACTTTGCATGAAGTTCTTTAGATTGTTTTATAAGACTTGCTTTTACCTCCTGTTTGGTGTGCTCCAAATATTTCCTTTGGTTTGTAGCTTCACCTCTTTGTTTTGTAAGTTTCCGGTGAAGACCATCTGCCAGAAGCTTAGCAACACAGCCTAGCTGCTTACTTACTGAGGCCTTCGGGGTCTGACTCATGTCCCTCATATAGACGCTGTCCAGCACACAGCGTCACTGGCCTTGTAAATGGCTTTAAATGCACTCCTGGTGATGTGACCACCTGGTGTCACCCTCTGGAGAGAGGATGAAGTCAATCACTCATCAAATTTTAATTGATGCCATTTACTGTGAAAGGACCTGGCAGTTCAAGGCCACAAGCACGTGGTCCCTGCCCTCATGAAGCACTTGTGAACAGGCGCGCCTCACCGTAGGCGCAGGTGGAAGATCGCGTGAAGGCGGGTGCTAGCACAGGCAGGGAGTACCTGACTGAGTGGTCAGCAGGAGCAAGGTAAGAGACACAGTGCCTCCAGCGCTTTCCTCTCTTCATCCAGTAAGCATTCGCAGGCAAAGCCGCAGGTACCACGAGGGAATGCAGCGTTGAACAGGCCGGTAGTCAGATAGGATTTAATGTCACAGAGGAGGGGGACCAGTCAGAGCCAGCAGACTAGTGAGCATCCGCAGATAAGTATAGTGGACCCTCGAGTTATGGTCGGTCTCACACGGGCAACTTGGGTTGCGGCCGGAAATTTAGGTTTAACTGACAACCAAAATCTTGAGTTACGATCCAAATGCCGGCTGCTTGCACAGTTGTAAACAGCCTTGTGATGCCGGAACACTGTACGTAAGCGTATGTAAGCATCACTGAGAGCCAAGATGTATGTGTTTGTGAACATGACTTTGGTCAGTGCTTTATGTAGTCACTACAATTACTGCTATCAAAGTGGCCCCCGAAAAGCCAGAAAAGAAGCTAAGGAAGGAAGGGAAGGGAAAGAAAGCAAGCACGATCGAAAAGAACAATATTAAAGGAAAGACAGAAACAGGTAACCTCAGACCAGTTTTTAGTTCTGAAAGGGTGAGACCTAGGGAGCCAGAAGCAGGTCCTCGTGGGCTACAGACTGGAGAAGAGAGAGGACCCAGAGAGCAGATTCCTGCTGTTCTTATGCAAGGGGATTCCCCTTCCAAGCAACACCCATCTTTCATTTCATCTTCCCTGCAAGCCAAAGGTGTCAATTTGAATGGTGGGTACAGTATACAATTGTTTCTAGTAAGCTAGGGACATTTTATAACTTTTTGGTAAATACACTAGGAAAATTATTAGCATTTCTGGTAAATTATGCACATTATAGAACCCTTAATTATTATAAAAAGGTTAGTTAAGGGTACTTTGGGAGATTTGGAATGCATTATGGGTATTTCCATTATTTCTTATGGGAAAAATAGTCTTGACTTACCAACTTGAGTCACAACCAGCCCTCGCAGATGAATTAATTTGGTAAGTCAAGGGTCCACTGTATGAGGTTGTATACAGGTGACCTAACCTGGCCCAAGACTGATTTCAGACTGAGCAGTCAGGAAAAATGACTCTGAGAAAGCAGTATTTAATTTTAGATCTGCGAGTGAAGCAGAAGTCAACCGTGCAAAGATCTAGAAAAGTTGTTCCCGGCAGAGAAAAGAGCCAGGGCAAAGATACTGAAGAACTTTATGTGTTTGAGCAGTGAACAGAGGGAAAGTTTGGCGGGGAGGTGAAGTCGGCCGGGGGCAAGGAGCTGGACTGTAGGGTCTTGCGTGAGGGAGAAGACGCAACAGTGGGCCCAAAGTACAGAGAAGTCATCAGCGGCGCGCTGTGGCCCAAACCTTAGGCGCTGCTTGGAAAATGGAACTTAGGAATGGGACAGAAGTAGGCAGAGCAGTAGCAAGGTGACTAATCGCTCAGAAAAGAGACAGTAGCCAGTTCCAGAGGTTGACCCTGGTGGAGGAAGAGGGGACTTCTGTGAAAGGGGCAAGGAGTTCACAAGCACACAAGGTGAAGGGAGGACACTCTGCACAGAGAAGCGAGTGTGAGACGATTCGCACTTGTTTATGGTCAGAGCGCAAGTGAGCGAGGGGAGTGGTCAGGGACGGGGTGGGCCGGTGGCCTTTAGAGGATATTCCCCGTAATGTCTCACTGCACCTCGATGCTGTGCTCATGTGCCCATCTTCCTCGAAGTTCTTCTAAGTGTGTTTTTTAAACTTTTGAGATGTTGTCAACTCGTGTTCAGCTTGAAGAAATAAAGGCACTTTCCCCCAGTTTCCCTGGGTGGTAACATCTTTTGTAACTACAGTACAGTATCACAGCTGAGGCGACGTCACACCCACTGCGTTCATATTGTGCCCGTTTCTTATGTGCTTGCTTGTGTGTCTTTGCACCTCTGCGGTCTTATCGCATGTGCAGATTTGTGAGACCACCGCCACAGTCAAGGTACAGAAAGTCCATCACAAAGCCCCTCGTGCCACCCTTTGCCCCTCTCCTCCGACCTCTGGTAACACTAATCTCTTCCCCGCTTCTGTGTTTTTGTCATTTCTGGAAGGTTAAAATGCAATTCTGTAGTATTCTGAGTTTTTTTTTTTTTTTTCATTCAGCACAGTTCCCTTGAGTTCGTCCAGGCTTTCTGGGCATCAGTGTCCTCATCCTGTTTATGGCTGAGTGGTTCTCCCTGTGGACATACCCCAGAGTTTGTTTACCCATTCATCCACCGAAGGCCATCTGCGGGCTTCCAGTTGTAGGCCATCCTGAATTCATGTATAGGAATTGTATGAGCGTGAGGTTTTTCATTTCTCTGAGATAAATGTCCAAAAGTAAAATTGCTGGATTGTATGGTAAATAGACACAAGATTCTGGGAAAAGCAATGGTATACTCTTCCAGATGGCTGCTGTGCAGTTTTACATTCCCTGTAAGAAGGTGTGAGTGAGCAGCTCCTTGGCATCCCTGTTAGTGTTTGGCATCATCATTATTTTTTATTTTAGATGTTCTGGTGGATGCATAGTAATATCTTATTGAGGTCTGAATTTGTATTACCTTAATAGCTGGTGAGGTTGAGCATCTTTTTTTTTGTGCTAATTTGTGTGCTCTGATCCCCTTTGTGAAATCACTGTTTGTGTCTCTCAGCCATTTTCTAATTGTTCGTTTTCTAACAGGCGGGCTTTGAGGGATCTGTATGTGGGCTGATTTGGGATAAAATATCTGCTGCTTTCTGGAGTAGTGCAACCCAAACTGGATTCTAGCTCCTTTGTCCCTACCCAATGAGTGGAGTGAGATGTAAGCACTTCAAAATTATTTTATTAGTAAATGTTTGAGATATGTAAATTTATATTGATTACATTTATTGTGGGGAATTGGTACACAATGCATCGGTCCTTTTTACTTCCTCTTTCCCTCTTCTCTTTCCACCCTTCTGTCCTTAGATCTCCTTCCCATTTGTAAAAGGTCTACCTTCCTTATTCCTATCATTTATCTTGCTCTTTAAATTACTTGCACTTTGGGTTTCTCATATAAAACCAACCACGCAATATTTAACTTCTGGGTCTGATTTATTTCATTTAGCATTATGGTCTCAAGCTGCAGCCAGTAGTTTTGTTCTTGAGTATGAGGCTCTCAATCCATCTTCTATGACTTTGATCGTAAATGAATCTGACAGTAGCACATTTTGTGTTTCCAACAAGGATTTCTTTATTTAACTTGGAAGAATTTCTAGAACATAGGAAGACAATACATAAAAGTGTAAAAGAGATCTTTGGCTGTTAACTTAAGGTACATTCTATGCATTTAGTTTTCAGGGTTCCAAGAGTGTCAGAGGTAAGAACAGTAGAAACAGGATGTAATGTATTGCACAGGGAAGAGGAGTACAGGCACTGGAACTGTGTGAAAGAGTTTCAGACAAACAGAAACGACTAGTTATGATTCCATTTTCTGTTTGTTAAACATAGGTTAGTTCTTGTTGTTCATGCCAGTGTCTATCAATATTTAGAAATTATAGATTTGTGATGTGACAGAGAGAAGGGTCTCGAATACACCCCTGAATGACCGCTAGGTCTTCAACATAGAAGTGGGGAGGGGTGGAGAAAGGCTCACCAGTGTGCAAGGACATCTGAGCGAATGCCACCACAGGACAGGCGGCCCAGCTAGCAGCAGCACTTCTTCTGGCAGCAGCACTTCTGCTGGCAGCAGCCCTTCCCACAGCCGCAGCCGCAGGAGTTACAGCAGGTGCGGCGGCAGCAGACGACCACGGGGGTGCTGCAGCAGCCCCCACAGCAGCCACGGCAGCAGGGGCAGCAGTTAGAGCAGCAGCCAACCCGGTAGCATCTGCAGGTGGTGCAGCTGTTGCAGCCTCCACAGCTGCCACAGCCTCCACAGCTGCCACAGCTGCCACAGCCTCCACAGCTGTTACAGCCACCACAACCTCCACAACCACAGCAACCCATGGTGTCAGTAGAGAAGACTCAGGTGAGGTAAGGAGAGAGGACTCAGGAGAGCAGAGGGTGTCTGATGCCCCCTCCTGCTGGGGCCCCTTAAATACCCTGCTGCCTTGGTATGTGTACGTAGCCACTTCCTCATTGTTTTGGCCCTTGTCTGTGGTGGCCATGTATTTCCTGTTGGCTACTTCCTCATGGGGCACATGTTTGATTGCTGTATCAATGTTAGAGAACTTCACTAGACCTGGCTGAGATATTTACAAGGACACTACGTTTCCAGTGTGTCTTCCTGGGAGGACAGTCCCCTTGATGAGTGGTCAGTGACCTCAGCTGAGGGGACTCCACTGCCTCATCCTTCACAGGTCAGAGCTGCCTCCTAGGACAAGGTGACAAGCCTGAGTTCTTGTCCTCTGTTCTAAGTATATACACTTTCTGTACATTATCTTTAATCACCATTTAAAGACAGTGATTTAGGTGTACACAGTCTCAATTAAAAAGGGTTTTAAAGTCCAGTAAGTCTTCAAAAGGAAAGAGAAACTGAGATGGAGGCATGGAGAAGAGAAGAAAGGGAAAAGCAAAAAGGAAAAATATATATGTGATAGTTATACTACTAATTTCTCTTAGTTCATTGAAAAGAGGCCTGCGCTTATATTTGGACAATTAAATGCTGATATCTTGTATTCTGAGTAACTAATTTAAAGATAACAATATGCAATGTATTGACCATTGCTACCTTCCCATTATTTTGTTTGGAAATTTTTCTGGTTTTTTTATCTTTAAAATAAAATTTTAAAGATGTCCAGTAAGTCTAGGAAATAGTGCATATTATGTCTTAATTTGGGAAATACACATTACATATTAGAGCTAATAGGTTCTGGATGAGAAAGAGTCTTAAAAAATCAATATTTAACAATAAAGAGAATCACTTATCAAGCAGAAAAGTTAAAAAATAAACCTTTCACAATAGCAAATAATACAACAGTACATAAATCTAAAAACATAAAAGATGTTTATGGAGAAAATTATTAAGCTGTATTGAGGAACATAAAAAGAGAGATAAATGGAGAAATATCCCAGACTTATTCCATTGATTCATGGATGGGAGGTCTCAATGTCTAAAAGATGTCAGTCCTCCCCAAAGTGAGTAATACATTCATTGCTGGACACGGTGGTACACACCTGTGATCCCAGCACATGGGAGGCTGAGGCAGGAGGATTTCCATGAGTTTGAGGCCAACCTAGGGTACATAGTGAGCTTGATGCTAGCCTGAACTGCATAGCAAGACTCTGTCTCAAAACAAAACAAAACAAAAAGTCATTATAATACATTCATTTCAATTCTATTAAAAATACTAAGAGATTTAAAAAAATCTTTAAAAAAACTTGACAGTTGCCCCTAAAATATCAACATCTTAAAGCATTTTTATATGTTTTCTTCTAGTAGTCCCATAGTTTCAGGCCTTACATTGAAGTCTTTAATCATCTTGAGCTAATTTTTGTAACTGGTGAGACCAGAGGGTTCTAGTTTCATTCTTCTGCATGTGGGTGTCTAAGTAATTATCTTTAAAAGGTGTAACCACACACTTTACCGTGTATAATCTTAGACCTGCCTGGCTAATTGCTCTTCCCCACATTCATGCTTTCGGACCCAACCCCTGGCTTTTCATGTCACCTTTCTCATTCCTGTCACCTTTCTCATTCCTGTCATCTAAGGAGAACTGTTTCGGACAATGCCTCCTGCAGGTATGGCTCAGGAGAGGAGAGACAAAATACAGTTGGTGAAGGGGGATTGGGACCAACAGAAGATTCTCTATTTGAAGGAAGAAATCTTAGAGGTTTCAATGCCGTCAAAAAGGGCCTAGCGGGCTGGCGGAGTTCATCGAGCTTAGCTGCAGTGGCGAAGTGAAGCTAGGTTGTTAAGTGCATTTAATGCCGACTGGTGAGTCCACATTGTCAAGTAGGAACAAAATGCAAAGCACTACAAAATACAGCAGTCCAGGGTAGCATCCTTTTTCTCTCTCCTTCCTGTGTTCTGCCATGCTGGGGATTGAACACAAGCCTCGGGCTAGGCAAGTATTGTCGCACTGAACTACACTCCCAGTCTGTGGAAGCTTTTGAAATACACAGACACCAACGTTTCATAAGATAACATTAAGCTACCATGATACCATACACTGACCATGTAGTAGAGATTGGTGCTTGGTGAGGGGCAAGTCAATAATGAGCATTTTACAGTAATTTTTTTCCTCAGGGACCAATATTTTCCCAATAACTGGCCTAGATGCCCTCATAGTGTTGTCTAAGAATGCTGGTGTCCCTGAGGTTGGTACAATATTCCGTTTTCTGACTCTGTATCCATGGGAGGCTGAACTTGCTTCATGTACTCCAACCAAAAGAGCATCATACCATAAACTCATCGCAGAAGCAGATATGAGAATCCAGCCACTTTGGATTAGCCAGCCATGAAAGAGATTTGCAGAAATATCAAGCAATGCCACTGTACTCAGTGATTTGTGTTGCTGCTGTTTTGAAAAATATATTTTCCTCCAAAATGTATTATTTATGTGAGTGTGTAGTTGGCTTATATGGTTATCTTAAAATCAGTACTTTTTAAAAGGCTCATTGTAACATCCAGTACAGTAAATATCTACAGATAGAAGCCGCATAATGAGCTATTTGGGGTCTCCAGCTGATTTTTTAGTGTACGTTAGTAATATGGAAGAGTGAAGTTTGTCTCGGGAGTTGTCACATGCGTAGAATATCCCGCAGTCATCTTCAGTCTCCTCCCTCTCCAGTTCCTACCACCCTGCCTGCCTCTGATCCCCTCCCCTCTCTTCAAGAGCCTACCTTCCAGTTTCCCGTCATCTCTCCTCGATTTGATTCATTCATTTACATTTTATATTTCTCATATATGAACACAAGGCCAAGGACAGCCTCTGAGACTAGAGTCGAGAAGCCTCTTCGGCTTTAGGTTATTTCTTGAACATATCGGGATCTTTTCTGTGCAGTACATCAACATCCGGTGGAACTAGGGTTTTCCCCCATCAGATGTGGGAAGCTCACTTACTTCCCTTCTGCAGGCCATTATCTTCCTGAGTCCCAATTCACCCTGCAGAACCAGGCCTCAGGTGAGGGAGTCTCTGGAGGAACAGCGGAGCTTCCTGGGGCTGGTGAAGCCTCACCTCGTGGCTGCCTCGTGGCAGCTCTAGCATCAAGGCTGGACCTACCGACCTGACTCATGCGAGAGGCATTCATGATGAGGCAGGAGGTTGCATGTGCGGAGACGGAGCTGCCCACTGTGGGCTTCCTTGGTGAGGTGATTTTGATAGTTCCCTCCACGAGGTCACTGTGGTCAGGGCTCCTCTCCCAGGTAGGAGAAACCAACGTAGCTGCCAGCCAGAAGGTGGGTGGCATCCAGACCAGTGCTGGAAACATTGAATGCTGGAAGCCACTTCCTGTAGGTTAAGGCTTCTGTTGCTTAATGCTCTTTTGGAATTTTCCCTGGAGAGGTAGCAAGAGAGAAAACGATCTGTCTGGGAACACGAGTGAGCAAAGAAAATATCAACAGGCAGATTCACTTCCCTGGCTCATCTATTCTAAGGCTGGCTATGTTTGAAAATAGGTATAAGTCTGTTTGCTAAACACCTTCAGGGGGGTGTGGCTGAGATAAATTTAGCTCCACTGAAAATAAGTGATTGAGACAAAAGTGTCTAGTAGGTAAACGGGAGTCTGATGTTTTTCTACAGAAGTTGAAATACACAATAAGGAAGTGGTCATGTGCCCTTTCACCTCTCCCCAGAGCTGGTATATAAGGGTGACCTCCAGCAGAAGAGGGCATCAGACATCCTCTGCTCTCCTGAGTCCTCTCTCCTCATTGTACCTGCGTCCTCTCTACTGACACCATGGGTTGCTGTGGCTGTGGAGGCTGTGGCGGCTGTGGCGGCTGTGGCAGCTGCGGTGGTTGCGGCAGTTGTGGCTGTGGCAGTTGTGGCTGCGGCAGTTGTGGTGGCTGCGGCAGTTGTGGTGGCTGCAGGAGCTGTGGCGGTTGTGGCAGCTGCTGTGGCTGCTGTGGCTGCTGCTGCAGACCTATGGTTGTCTGCTGCCGCCGCAGCTGCTGTCGCCGCAGCTGTTGTCGCTCCTGCGGCTGCGGCTCCTGTGGCTGCGGCTGTGGGAAGGGCTGTTGCCAGCAGAAGTGCTGCTGCCAGCAGAAGTGCTGCTGAAGGAAGCAGTGCTGCTGCTAGGTGGCTCTGCCCCTGCCCAGGAGCTGTGGGCGGATACACACACTCCTGCGGGTAAGACTTTGCTTCCTCCTGTTTTTTCTACTCTTGCCCTACTCTGTCTCCATCTCCTGCACTTGTTCTTTGGATCCTCCTGCTTTGTCCTCCTGAGCTCTTCCTTTTAAAGTGTTCAATCTTTTTAAATATTCAGGCCTGGATTTGGCCACTTGGGTGTCTACTACGTCTGTGCAGTCTTGTCTATTGCTTTTGCCTGTATTTGTTCTTAGCAATTTCCTAATAAAATGATGCAATGCACAATAAAAGTCTCTTCACGAGTTGTCTTTATCATTTGCTTTGTCAGCTGTTCTGTCCCCTGCTCTGCAAATCAAATTCTGCTTCTCGCTCTCTGCAGTCTGCTCTTGCTGGCCAGAGGGTCAGAGCCTGCAGCCTCGGGCATTTATTAGAGACGGCATAGCCTCTGTGCTGTGGCCTGAGAATGGCCTTCTCCCTGATGGTGCTCTCCGAATCTCCTCCCAACTTTCCATGGTGGGGATGAAGGTGGTGGGGATTGGTGGTGCTGGTTGTTTTTTGGTTTCTTGAAACTCCTCTAGTGAATGAGAAACAGGCCCCAAAGGCAGAAGAACGCATATGGTCTTACTTGGTGGGACCTAGTGCTTTCTGAAACGGCTGGAAATCTTCTGCCAAGGCAGAGAGCTTGGGTGCCGTGGGCTTCTGCATGGCTGTCACCTTTGCTGGGCTTTGTGGCCTGTCAGCTCCATTTGGTGTCTTTGCTGATATCATGCGGTAACCCCCCAGGAGTGAAGACCTGCTCTCCCCCAGCTGTTAAGTCTGTGGGTTAACTTCACTCAGCAGGCAGGAGAGGGACCCTGCTTCATGTTGGTCGGAGCCCTAGTTTCTAGCCCAACTCCACCAGCAGTGCAGCAGAGAGGCTGGGGTGGGTGATGAGTCCCTGTGGATCTTCATCTTGGTCCAGGAATGCTTCCCCAGGAGGTGAGTGGCATCACATGCATTTCACAGCCCAAGAGACCAAGGCTGAGACTGGAGCAGTTAAGAAACTCACTCAAAGATTCACAACTACTGAGACCTGATTACATCCCAAATCACTTAACCTCAAACTTCTTTCTCTACCCTACTGAAACTTAGAATTTACGACATTTCCTTTCTTCAGTTCCCCTTTCCATCTTCCCGAGTTCATGCACACATCCATTGTCCCAAGGCCCTTCCCTGTCATGTGGTCCTTGGACCCAGGATCCGGGAAAAGCTGCACTCGGGCTACTTGCTCTTCAGCCCTCCTCAGCAGTGTCTGTGGTCTGCACGAGGTGTGCTCTGTGCTCATCAGGT